AATGGCAAAATAAGCAACTTTTTGGCTTGTTTCCTGAAATCTCCAGTTCAGGCCGAGCTGGAAGCAAATCTCAGGCCTGGATTCCTAGAGATGAAGGACTGTGGCCACCTCACTGTTTATTTTTTCTGCATTTCTTGCTAACCCCTATTTGTCTCCTTAAAAAAATCCCTAAAACCCATGCTCACATGTCATATTTGATGCATCTGCCAAGGCCAGAGCCGTCATACCCCATCCAGCACACGTCAGTGCAGCCTTGTAAGGGGAAGCTGAGAAAAGACGTGCAGGGAGATCTATTTTTGTACTTTCATTTTAAGGCACCCCCTTGATTTCCTCCTTTCTGACTCACATTCCAGCTCCAGAAGTGAGGACAAAGCTGCACCCAGTCAGGAGAGGACATTCTGCCAATATTTTCATCCAAAGTTTTAGCACAGGAACAGCAGAAGAAGGGATTTGTGCCATCATCTGCCTGGTGTTTGCACAAGCAGTTATTTGGGAAAAGATTTTACATTTTCCATCCATGCACAACCTTAATCTGAATTAACCTCCAAGTCTTGAGAGGTTCTGAGAAACAGATGATTTCAAAAAGGAAACGCAGGAATGAAAAAAGAAAACCAAAAATCCCCCAGCTGGATGATTTAAATCGACATCATATTTCAGTAAGATCGAGATTTGCAGAAAACCGACTGCTCATTAAGAATCACTTGCTCAGCTCTTAAAAGAATCAAACACTTGGGTTGATCACAGAAAACCAGCTCAGCTCTAGAGATGAATCAGTGGCTTAGGAAGGTGCTTTCTAACCCATGGCTTTCTTGGAGCATGACAGCTTTGCCTGAATGTGCAGGTTAACAATTACACACATGCTCGAGTTTCTGCTGCTTCTCCAGGTTTTACATCCCCAAGCAGGTGAGGTGCAACGCACTGGATCATGTCTGCTGTGGGAACTGGTGTTTGAGGGATCAAACATGATTCTGTTGATCTTCTGTTCAGCCTTACAGCCCTTAAATAACACCCAACACACTCTGCTCTTCCCAGATTGCAGGTGACAGCTGAGCCACACAGCCTTCCACTCTCAGACTGCACCATCAAGGTCCTGAGCAGAGGGTCCTGTCCTGCATCACTTGGCAGAGCTGAGAGCTTCAGGCAGTTCATTTGCTTATTTAAAAGCTCAGGTAAGCCCAGGGACAGAGCCATGAGGGTGTTTATAAAGGGTTAATTAGCAGCTCCATCCAGCAGTGTCCAGCTCAGAAGGTTCCAGTGTCAAGAGTGGCAGCTCGGTGTGTCAGGATTTGGCTGTCACTGGAAAACCTGATCCTTTACTGGGACTGCCTGGGTCCCCACTCCCAGCCAGCCCAGCTCAGCTCCCACAGGCACTGGGAGGGGATGGCTCCATCCCTGAGAACTTCAGAGCTGGACAACACCAGGGGCTGAGCCTGCAGACCCCGCTCCTGCTGTGTGCAAACACTGAATGATCATCCCCCAGTCATCCTCAACCAAAACAACCCCTCATGCTGGCAGTGTCCAAGGCTGGGATGGACGGGGCTTGGAGCACTCTGGGATGGTGGAAAGCGTCCTTGCCCATGGCAGGGGTGGGACTGGATGGGCTTTAAGGTCCTTTCCAATCCCAAAGGATTCTGTGCTTTGCTTTCACTACAGACTGTGTGCCAAGAACATCCCCAGACTCCTCTGCTTCCCTGCAGAGTGGTCAGGGACTGGGGTCTCTGTGTGAGGAAACCTCTCCTCCCAAGCAGCCTTTGCCAGGTGGGCTCCACAGCCCATTCCCATGGGACAGGAGTGAGCCTGCTCCAGCCAAAACCTCCTCCAGACCCTTGGGAACATGCTCCAGCCAACCACTCCCAATTACTGCACGTGCCATGAGATCATTCCCAGCACAGACAAGGGCAATCCTTCCTGGGAGCCTACTTACAACATGAGTTTTAACTTTGAATTATTGTTTTTGTATCTTTGAATTCTTTTTACAGCAGATAAAGACTGGGGAGAGTGCATTTGGGGGGAATTTCTGCTTGTGCCCTCCTCAGCCTGGTTTCTGATGGTTCACAACTCCTGTGGAGCCTCTGGAATGAGTTCCAACCTGAGTGATCCAACCACCCATTCCCTGGCAGAGGCACCTCAGGCACAGAGGGGAACTCAGTCCTAGAGTTTGGCATTTTCAGGCTCGACCATGAGCCCTGTGAGGGTCCCTGGACACTGCAGCCCCTCCCAGCTCCTGCCCCCACCAGCTTCCAGGATCTGCAACCTCCTCCTGACCCGGTGTTCTCTAAATTAAGAAGCTGTTACATCCCTTCCTTCCTTGGCCCACGGGGTGCTAAGAAGGTCACCACAGATCGTAGCTTAAAGGGCCGCCAGTGCCCCCCTAATCCTGGCCAGACAGAACTGCCCGAGCTGATAACGACCTGAGCAGGTGATTAGAGCCTGGATTTATCTGTGCTCAGAGCCCTGCTGGCCCCCTGCACCCCAGGCTTTTCTGAGATATGCAGAAAATTTCAGCCATCCCGTTTTTGCTGAGCCACCCAAGGATGCTCCTCCTGTCCTCTCATTACGGGGCACTCCCAGCCCTGCAAGGATGGACTCAATAACAGCTATTTCCAACACTTCCCCTGCATTCCTGGAATAATGGGCATTTTCATCAGCCTTCCTTGTTCTTCAGTCACTCTCTGTGTTCTTCTCTAACTGCCTGAATGACAGATATTTCCCCACTGAAATATTTCCCAAGGAACAGGGAGCTCAGCAGCTCCTTCTGGAATCTACTTTTATTCTGTGTGCCACCAGAAAGTGCAGGGAAAAGTGAAAAATGGAAGAGGAAATAATCAGCCAGCAGTGTTCAGGGGCTCAGGAGTCCTGAGATAGGGAAGAACTTGCTGGATAAAAGACAATTCCCTCCACTTACAGGAAATACCTCGTACAAAAAGAAAGGTCCACACTTCAAAGCTCTACTGAATATGCCAAGAGCCAAAAAATTGGAAAAATTTCTGGCAGCGTTCTTTGTAAAAATGTCTTCAATAGTAGAAATCCAGTAAATGGTAAAAACAGTAAAAATGTTTCTTCAGTGCTGCTGAATCCCACAATTTCATTTGCTGAGTTAAATCCTGGTCTATGGAATTAGGGTATAGTGGCTGCCTTAGTCAATGCAGGAAAGGGTTTTTAGTCAGGTCATTTATTCAATCTACCCATGTACCAGAATATTTTGTGTCAAAATATCCTCACTACCACCACGGGCAGGTACATTGAGCTGGAACAGAAAATGGTTATAGACAAATCTGATCAAACCAAAGTTCCCTTTCTCCCTCAACTGCCTCATTTTGATTTGAAGAAGTTCAGGTGAATCTTTTCCCTGCTGTTATTTGGAGTTTCCTGGATTAGATTTCCAAATAAGATCCTTATTTACTGTGTGTGGTATCTCCAGGGGTCCATCACACAGCAGCAGAGCTCCTACCTCCGTGATAAGAAGTTTTATCTCATCACATTTGTTTTTTCTCTCTTCTATGTAATATCCAAAGGAAAACTCCAACTGTGATAACCAATTAAAACACAAGTTCTGCAAACCCTGCTGAACTGGAAACTGAGAACCCCTGGATCCCTGGAAGTGCCCATGGCCAGGCTGGACAGGGCTTGGAGTGACCTGGGATAGTGGGAGGTGTCCCTGCCCATGGCAAGGGTGGCACTGGATGGTTTTTAAGGTCCCTTCCTTACCCACTCTGTTAATCTGTAATTTCTGCTTTCTTGCATCTGCCCAGGAACTGGAAGAGAAAATCCACTGCTGAAAACTACACTGCTGCATCCTCCTGCCATGAGCTGAGCACAGAACGAGGACACCCTGAAATCCTCACCCTCTCTGAAGCAAACTCCAGGTTTCACTGCTCTGAAGTCCTGCTAATCCATTCTTCCCACAAGGAAACTCCCAGCAGAGCCCTCCCAGCTCCAGCCCTCCCTGACCTCACGGCTCAGGAAGCACAGCAAGTTTCCAACAGCCACAGTCATTCCCAGGCCAGCATTTCCCAACCCTCAGGTCATGCTAACACTGGACCTGATCCCCAAATCCTTCCCCATCCCTCCAGAAAACCTCTGCGTCACAGAGGTGATTTCAGCTCAGCCCCCCTGGCCAAGCTAGGTCTGGGGGATGTTAAAACTTCCTGAATTGTGGCCTGAGGACACCCCTGCACCCTCTTTGGGGATGGGGAACTCCTCTGTCCCGACCTAAGCACTGACAAACACAGCCCCAACGAGGAAATACCACGGGGAATGTTTCCTCCCAGCCCAAGTGCCAGAGGCTGCTCTGTTCCCCCTGTCAGAGACAGCTCCAGAGGTGTGACCAAACCCTGGCTCCCCCCAGCCCCACAGCACCTCTACCTGCCCCAAACACAGCATTCCCCAGGGGCAGCACTTCCCCCAGCTGCCCCCCTTGCTCTGGGATGTGCCCAGCAGAGTCAGGAGCAGAGCTCACCTCCAGGTTACTCACAAGTCACACTCGCTCCCACCTCCACCAACTGCAAACAGAACTTTTAGGAGCAACACAAGCGATGGATATTGCCCAAACCCGTGTCCAGAACAACCCACAGGGTGTAATCACAGTCACAGAGCCACAGAATGAGGCTGGGAAAGACCTTTGAGATCATCCAGCCCAAGCCAACACCACCTTGTCACCCAGACCACGGCGCTGAGCGCCACATCCAGACCTTCCCTGAACACCTCCAGGGATGGTGACTCCAGCACCTGCCTGGGTTAAAGAGATCCCAGCTCCATCCCCAACAGCACCAGGGGCAGGTTCTCAGCAAATCCATCGACCTCTGACTCCCTGAACACCCCCACTAGGCCAGGGTGAGGGAAAATCAGCCTCTCCCGGCAGGCTCCCACGGGAGGAATCCTCAGAATGAGCCCAGAACCCGTACAGTTCATCTCCTGCCCCAGATCCCACTGCTGTGTGCCCCACAGGGAAGCACAAGGATCACTCCCAGCACCCCAAGAGCACAGACACAGTCACTCACCAGGGCTGCCTGGGCTCTGGGGCTTTGTCACTCTCCCCGTTCCCGGAGCAGGAGCAGCTCCTCTCTGTGGTTCTTCACCCTGCAGGAACCAGGACATGGAGGGAGGGTAAGCAGATAATCCACGACTTTCTGTGAGGGTGTGCAGTGCTGGGAAGCAAAGCTGCTGCTGTCTGCAAGGATCAGAGCTGGGACTTTCTGAGCTAAGACTCTGAGCTGCTTAGCTCAGAGCTGGAAGCAGAGCAGACAGAGGTGGTTGTGTTCCCAGGGCTGAGCACTGGGGAGGTGGTTCAGGCTGGCTCAGGCACCAGAAATCCCACAAAAACTGCTCCATCAGGCTAATGCTGGCAGAGGACAAGGATAGAGGAATTCTTGGTCAGGATGGCTCAGGGAAAAAACAGTTTCTTCCAAGTGAAATATCCCACAGTAAAACTTTTCCAGAGTTTTGTTTATTTATTTATTTAATATTTGGAAAATGTGCTTTTGAAACTGAAGATTTTGCTTTGGGTTAGACCAGCTTGAAACTATTCCTTGATGAAACTGAAATGTTCTGCTTTAAGTCAGTTCCTCTACATGCCCCGAGATGCCCCAAATCCTCCTGCAACTTTAAATTAAGGGTCTTTCCTTTCCCTGCCATGGCTGAGATACCTGCCCACCATGAGAGATGTGCCAGGACATAACCAGGATTCAGAAGTGGAAGCTGCAGGGATTTTTAAGGCATTTTTTGACTGAGTCACTCAGAAGCTCCTGGTGCAGTGGGGCTGGTCCAGACAGGGTGTGCAGGGAAGCTCCTCACAGGGAAGGGTGCAGGGCACAGATTCTCAGCTCTCTGTGCCCCCAAGGATGTTAAATTAAGCCTGGGTGAGGTCTAAGAAGTTGACTGATAACCTGGAGTGGAAGCAGCAAAAAGGTGCCACAGAAAAACCTCACCAGGAGCAAAATCAAGGGAGCTGAAAAAAGGACACCTTCCACTATCCCAGGCTGCTCCAAGCCCTGTCCAGCCTGGCCTTGGACACTTCCAGGGATCCAGGGGCAGCCAGAGGGATACAGAGGATCCAGAGGCACCCTGTGCCAGGGCCTCAGCACCCTCCCAGGGAGGATTCCCTTCCCAGTCTCTGAATCTGCTCTCCTTCAGTTCAAGGCCATTCCCTGCTCTCACGCTGAATTCCCCTTTACTCTGCGATTCCTATGGAATCCAGGCAGCAAAAGCAGCTGAGCCCAGCCCTTGCAAGGCTGGACTGGATCCACTGAGTGCCCCATCCCACAATTTTTGCAGAATCACTTCAACCCACAATGCAGAAGTGCTCTGCCAATATACAGCATCTTTTGAACGAAGTAACTGCATTAAATGTGCTGCTTTATTTCCACTCTGGGCTCCCCAAGCCTTTCCCTTCTCTCCCTGAATGATAACGGGCATAAAAATTAAACAGAAGTTCTCCAAGAGCGAAGGAAAAGTGTTGAAAAGCAATAAATCACAGGGCTGGATGGCATTCTGAGGGAGCAGGAGGAGGGGAGAAGGGATGGAACGGTGCAGATCCTGACTAAGATATATCACAGACCCTTAAAAAGGCAGGGCTCGTCCCCAGGCAGGGACTCTGCACCCTGGGCTCAGTGTGGATGGAGCAGCAAAGGGAGCACACCCAGCACAGCTGAGGGGTTGGAATGTGGTGTCCAGGCTCCCATCAGGCTCAGATCACAGCCAGTGTCACCCCAGCACCTCACCTGCACCCCCTCCTCAGCTGGGGATGGACACCCTGACAGAAACACCTCCTCATTTCCCAAAAGCCACAATTCCATACCCATTGCTGACTGCTGAGGGCAGAGAACCTGCAAACAGATGGGGTTTGGGAGGGATTTCCCAAAAGTGCCCTTCCTGCCCAGCCAAAAGGCCCTGCAGGATGGCCAGGGCTGCTCCTCTCCCTTCCCAGGGCTGTCCCACTGACACCAGGATCAGCTGGGGACCCCAGGAAAAGGGAAGAGTCAAAGTGAAGCCCAGTGCTGGAGCGGGATCCAGACATTTCTGAGCGTCCCACATGGAATGCTCTCACATCTGACCTGGGATCCTGACATCAGCACTTCCAATCACCTGAAACACTCCCACGGCATCACACACAAGCACAGTGTTCTGGAAACACCAGGAATCAGCACTGATTTTATTTCCAGCAAACAAGATCACCTTTAATTTCACAGGCACCTCCTACTTCATTAAAGAGTCTGCTCTCCAGGGATTTGCTCCTCAACTGGGGCAGGAAATGAAAAGCTATTTAATTGGGGATAAAGATCCATCTTTGCAGTGCCTATCATAATGACGTGTCATTTCAAAACAAGTGTGGAGCAGGTGTGAGATGGCACCAGCCCTGGATGTGCATAAAAAGGGCTGACAGCAGCAGTGTGTCTCAGAGATAATCAGGTGGTGCAACCTCAAAACTCCTGCTCCCTTTGCGTTCTCTCTCACTCTCTCCACTCAAACTTCTCCGCAAAATTGACTTTTGAAATGGGTGAAAAGAAATGGCATCTCAAGGAAGCCAAGGGGTTTGAAAGAAAGAGAATGGCCCTTGAAATGGTCCGAGCAAAGGTCCTGGAAATTGTGGGGCAGGGCTGGTGCTGGTGTTGAGGATGGAGAGGGGAAAATCATCAGCACAGCCAAGGTTCAGGTGACCAGAGTTGTCCTGAAATCCAACCTCAACCTCCTCTGCCACAGCTCCAGCCATTCCCTGACCAAGAGACATCAGGGTGCTGATTTCTGCCTCGGGAGCTAAGGTAGGTGGGACAGCTTTCTGCTTTCCCTCAGGTGTCCCAGCCCCTCTCTCCACGCTCCAGCACCAAGAGGAGCGATGTGATAAATCACTTTAATACCGAGGGTTTCAGATGGCCCGCAGGGAGCTGAGTCAAAGAACTGCAAGGAGAGCTTATGGATATGTTCTGCTCCTTGTTCTAAGGAAAGGGAAACCTGCAGTTCATCTTTTGAACCACTGGTGAGTCTCTACAGAATTCAAGGCAGCTCAGCTGGCTCAAGCCTGCCCCAAACAGCTTCCACAGATAAGGTTTTTCCTTCTGAAGAAGCCCCAAATCAGAATCCTCACGTGTGTCCCTCTGTGCTGAGAACTCCTCCAGCTTTCCATGGGAGCTGGGAGCTTGGATCTGATTGTGCCCCAGCCTCTCCTGGGCATAAAACCAGGGGGTGAGCATGGTCCCTGAGCACTGGGAGACACTGGAGAGACTGGCTGGAAACCAGAGAAACCAAACCATCTGACTTCACCCAAAGGCAGAGTGGCTCAGCTGGAAGTGTGAGAGTTCCTCCTGACACACCACAGCAGAGGTCTCTGCCCTTTGTGCTTCTCCAGATGTTATCTGTAACACCATGGATTTATTTAAATCTATTTTTCTAACAAGTACCTTTTCTGCACCTCCTCTCATGGGAGACAAAATAGGGAGGAACCTCGTTTAATTATTGCACTTTAATTAACCGCCTGTTTTGCCAAAGCTCTGCTCCTGTATTCTGATGCAAAGTCACAGCCTTTCACTGTAAGCAATACCTCAGTTTGGCTTCAGTCTTAACTGGTGTTTAAATGTCCTGTTTTCTCCCCTGTGGATCCATACTCACAGAATCTCAGTGTGGTCTGGGTTGGAAGGAACCTTGAAGATCATCTTGTTCCAATTCCCTGCCATGGGCAGGCTGCTGATCCTTCAATTATCACTTCTCTGCTCATCTCACCTTGGGCTGGGTTTCTTTTGCCACTGAGCACATCAGACACTTTTCCTGACCGAGCTTTTGGGCCAGGATGCTGCTCAGGGAGTGTGCTGGCAGCTGGCTCTGCTCCCACCTCTCTCCCACACTGTCCTGCTGCAGGAGCTGCAGCTGGGAGCAGGATGTGCCTCGAATGAGGCAAACAGCAGCAACTTCTGTAACAGAGACAGGAAACCCTAAACCACATCCCAGGCCAGGATGGGAGCAGGGATAGGGTTTCCTGTTTCACTTCAAGGGGCAGACACAGCTCCCCATCGTCCCTAATTTTATATCTTGACATCTTTACCTTCTGCCTGTGAATTCTCTGCTGCTGTCAGAAGGTCACCAGGCCAGTTGGGAAGGCATTTTTCACACCCTGGCTGATCCAGAGGCACCTGGCTGCCTCCTTCCACTGGCAAAATGCTGACAACAAAACTAATTAGTGGGCAGCAGGACTGTGGCTGGGTGACAGCACTGGCCTTTACTGTACCAGCCAAAAATTCAAGGGATTCAGAAGCAGCTCCTGGCTCTTCCCCAGGCTCCTTTCATGACCTTGGCCTCCAGCTCTGTGCTCTACCCACTGAGGCTGGTAACACTTTCCAGATGTGGCCATGAATTTATGGTGAGGAAATAATTCAGTAGTATGGACACAAAGGTCTGTTTAGAATAAAAATATGACTTGGTTAAGTGTCGCCCTGAGAATCAGACCTTTCAATATTGTTTTCATAATTTCCAGCCACTTTCCCAGGAAAGTAACTATAAACACAGGTGTTCATACATTCCATTAAAGATTTGCCTTTTGATGGATGTCTGTCATGGCCAGTGTGGTTGGGAAGGTGTTAACCTGACTATCCAATCCCTGGTTGTGGTCAAAAACTTATAAATACTGAAAGAACAAATAAAATTCCTTCTTCTTCTTTCATCTCACTTCGAGCTGTGTCTGTGTGAATCATTTTGTGTCTGACAGTGACAGTTAAGCTTTTCACCAGACTCGTGCACCAGCTGGATATTCCCAATATTCTCACAATGTCTGGGCTGAGCAGGTTGAGTGGAACAGGGTGCTCAGAGCAGCTGTGGCTGCCCCTGGATCCCTGGAAATGTCCAAGGTAAGGTTGGACAGAGCTTGGAGCAGCCTGGGACAGTGGAAGGTGTCCCTGCCCATGGCTGGGGTGGGATGGGAAGAGCTTTGAGGTCTCTTCCAACCCAAACCATTTGCTGACTCTGTGAGAGGCCCAGGGGATGCTCTGCAGCAGGAGACAGGTCAGGAGGGGTTAACTCCTCCTCACACAGCTGGTGCTGTCATGACACTGGAGAACGGTCCATGGACCCTCGTTCATCTTGAAATGAAATCAGGGG